TGGTTAAGACTTGTTAGAACATGTTTTATCGTTATATATGTTTGTGATTTCTAGCAGCATAAAAAGTTGTATCAGTATGTTGAAATTGTCGTTACTTTATGCAAAAGAATATATTGAAATAAAGTTGATTGCAGCAACCACAAACACATAGACTAACATAGGTGTTGGAACATGAGGGCATAAGATGAAGAAGATGAAGATTTAGGAAAGATCATAATTTTTTTTAAAACATTAATTTATTTTTAATAACTAGTAAAAGTATTAACTATGCTATAATATTATTAAAAGAGATAAGTTAGACCACTACAAAAGAAAGTTTAGAAATAAATATTGAAAACATGTCTTCTATCTTAAAATGTATTATTTCACTATATGTATTATTTCATTTTTTCTAGTCAAAAAATATAAAAATATAATTCATGTTTTATTTTTTTGATCAATGAGAAATAAATAATACATAAAATGATACAAATTTTAGGACGGCTTTATGTGACAGGTGGGTGCAGCTAACATTCCTCTAATAAAAAAAAATAAGATTCCAAAACTAGCTCCTATTGAATGTGTAAATAATTTATTGTTTGATAAAATTAATGGTGAAATTATTTATTAAATAACAAAAAAAGAGTATATTTTTATTTAGTATTTTGACAAGCTACATCATCATTCTAAAAACTATAATTTTTAAACGTTATAAACTTTTTTTAAAGTTATTTTTTAGTTTTTGAAGTAACTTTTAGTATTTTTATCGCACAATAACTACTACAATATTTGCTTAAATAAAAATTTAAGGAAGTTACTAAATTTTAAAAGTAAATTTATATAAAGTTTGGAAGCTACTTTTCATAAAGTCTACATTCTGAAAATTAAAATAGTTTTTGATAATTTGTCTATCATTTTTACTCTTCACAATATGTAAAAATTACATTAGTTATATCTAACTTAAAAATTATATTAATTATTACATTTTAGTCATTTTTCACATTTCAACTATTTTCAAAGCTAATTTTTCCGAATAGCTATAATTTAATAAAATATCTACAAGTTTACAACTACTTTCATAGTTACGAGCTAGTTTTTTCAAATAAACCTCCAAGCTTTATCTAATTTTCTTTTTATGGAATGGTTCTAATAATTTATTAATTAACGAGGTCATAAAGCTACTGTTACCTAAAAAGCTACAAAATGTTGTTAATGGAAAGTGTAATAATTTTTCTATACATATAAGCTAATCACAACCGGGTTTGAATCCTCTATAGAGAGTAAAGTACATCAAAAAATAATATAAAAGTGCAATTGAAATCACTTTATTATCCTCTTAAATATAGTAATATGATATTGTTACCCTTGAAGTCACATGTAAAATATTTAGGTAACCACGGTAGGATATGACATGAATATTTGTTTTTAATAGTTAAAATATTTACTTCTTTTTAATTAATTTTTTAAAAAAACCACCACTTTCACATACTCAATAGTGGATTCTTAATCTTATTCTTTTCATAGGCATACGTCATGGATGAGGATCACCCATCCCGAACGGTGTCTCATTCCATGTCCCAAACCAATAGCATATTAGCATATGAATAAATTTTTTTTTTAAAAAAATGAAACATTTTCATTGACTTGAGACAGAGAATGGGACACCGTTTGGGACAGTTGATCTTTGTTCGTTTACCAAAACCCAACATCACCCCCACACAACAACACATATAATCTAACCAATTTCACCCAAAATCACCCCACATATAAATTCATCCCCTCCCCACTCATTCAACACCAACAGAACCAGTCCAAAATAGTGTTCTCAAAGTTCAATTACTTTTCTCTGCACATCAATGGTACGTGCAATGCAAACTGCTCGCATTTTCACTTATGGCAAGATACCAAGAATGAGTTTGGCGTTGATAGCTGCTCGTAAATCAACTACACGGATCGGTAGAGTGAAGAAATACCACAGATTCAGGCATGGTTCGGTTGCTTTAAAGGAGATAAGGAAGTATCAGAAGAGCACAGAAAACCTAATATCTAAGCTTCCCTTCCAACGTCTAGTTCAGGAGATTGGCCAGAAAATCAAACCAGGCCTTAGATTCCAAAGCATGGCAATTTCAACGCTTCAGGAAGCATCAGAAACTTATTTGGTCAAGTTGTTTGAAGACTCCATTTTTTGTGCTAAGCATGCTAAAAGGGTTACCATTATACCAGATGATATGAAACTTGCAAGGAGGATGAAAGGGGAGACGCTTTAGCGTGTGTGAACGATGATGGTTAAGAGTTTGAAGGAAGTTTCTAACTTTTAAAAATAAACATATATAGAGTTTGAAAGCTACTTTTTATAAAGTCGGTATTCTGAAAATGAAAGTAGATTTTAAATAATATGTCTATCAGTTTTACTCTTCAAAATATTTAAAATTACATTAGTTACATCTAACTAAAAAAAACCATATTAATTATAACATTTTAGTCATTTTTCAAATTTCAACTATTTTCAAAGCTAATTTTCCCGAATAGCTCTAATTTAATAAAATATCTACAAGTTTTCAACTAGTTACGAGCTAGTTTTTCCAAATAGACCTATAAACTTTATCTAATTTTCTTTATCGAATGACTCTAATAGTCTATTAATTAAGGAGGTTACAAAGCTACATGTTACCTAAAAAGCTACAAAATCTTGTTATTGGAAAGTGTAATAATTGTTCTATACACATAAGCTAATCACAACCATGATATACATCCCACACAATTAAGCTAATAAGTACTGTTCTATATGTATAGCTAATCACAATCATAAGATTCACATAAATTACTTACACAACTATAACTTGCAAATAGACTTCAGAAACACATTTACAAGCTAGTTTTGTTGAACAAATTCACAAACTTCATTCAGTTTTTGTTTATCCCACAACTCTAGTAGCATATTAACTAAGTCAAAAAACTACAATGGAATAATAATTTGATCAAATCTCATCAAATAACATAAAAATATTACTTTTTATTTTTATATATTTTATTTTTAAGTATAGTTCAATTTTTAATTGAACTAGAATATAATGGAACATAAAATATGGGATATGTGATCTCCATTTAAGTTCTTGAGTAGTGTAGTCATAACGGTTTAGGAAGTAGTAGGATCTTACAATGTTTAGGACACTAACTTTTTCACATTTCTCATGTTAGTAATTTAACATTTCACCGAAGGGTAATAGTCTTGAAAGGATGATTGATAGATATATTTGGGTTGGTACTTTAATAGTGTATGATTTTATTTGATATTTAGATAGTTCTATTTTATTTGAGTTTATTTACAGTTTTTATTTATCTTGTTAGTTATTATCTTATCGTTTATAATGACTTTTACTTATACAGTAAATTACTTAAAATAACGCATATTAGAGTTTGACTGATCCTTATTATCATAAACTTATACATGTAAAACAATAAAAAGAACAATTTTATAAGCAGACGTCGTCCCGTAAGACATTCTTTTTGACACATCCTCCGTCACTTTTAAAAATATCCTTACTCATCTACAATATATATGACTTGTGTATCATAAAGTTATTGGATCTATCTTAATGACTTTACTATTGAGACTAAGATTTATTGTTGTTGTACTCTAGGACACTCTTTTTGGAGCATCATATATCACCGCTTTTAAAAATATTCTTACACAATAATTTTTATTACTTCAATGTAATCGGATGCAGGAGGTATGTCTAATATTAGAACTTATGGAACATATCATAGGTAATAACAGCTACAAATAAAATTGCAAGTAGTAATAGATGATGAATGAATTATTTTTTGTTCTTGAAGATGAATTATTTTTTGTTCTTGAAGATGAATTATTTTAGTGTTGAAAGAAATGAAAAAAAAATTAAAATTAAGTTTCTCTTTTGAAAAATACAAATTAAATTATTAAATTTAGATAAGGTAAGTTTTAAATAGAATCGAGTAAATATATACATATAAGGAAATTATAAAGTTATAATTCATTTTAATTAATTGAAACAATAAGTGTAAAAATATTTTAACATGTACAAATGAAATAAATATTTTTTAACACCATGAGCTAATTAAAAATTAAGGAGTTGTATAATACCTATATAATGATAGTGTAAAAGTTTATATAAAATTATTATATTTCATCATTTATTTGGTTTATTTTTTTTTAAGAGTAAGTGATAATTAAAAATGAATGGTGGTGATACAATTATAGTACATAAAACTCATATAATGTTAGTGTATATATAGTTTTTCAATTATTAATATGAATTATGTTGTTGATGAATGGAATACAAATTTGAAAAATCTGGAATTAATTAGGTAAATTTATAGAAATGGAAAGAAATTTATATACAAAGAAGGTAAGAATTAAATAGAGATAAATAAATGACATAGTAATAATTAATAATAGAGGATTCATATACATATATAATTGAGTAAGAATTAAGTAGAGATAAATAAATGACATAGTAATAATTAATAATAGAGGATTCATATACATATATAATTGACAATGATAAATATTTTGGTAACAACTTTTATTTGTGTTGAAAGTAATTGACCACAAATAAATAACTCCTATGGTAATAAGTAATAATGAAAGTATGTGGGAATTGTACAATTATTAGTTATAAATAACTAGGATGAGTTGTTGGACCTAAGTGAGAAGCACCTTATCTAACTCTCACTACCAAGGGACAAGTATTACCCAATAAGCACCCGGACCTGTTCTACGGTTAATCAATCATCATATTTATATGTGTCTCTATTCAATTATATATCGAGTAATAATATATTTTTGGTCAAAAATACAATTAATTTTTCATCATATACACATAACACTACCGCAAATTTTGTAATTTTGTATTTAGGGGAGGTTTTTTTGTGGAGGTTACACAAACCCCAAATAAATCAAATGAGATAGGTTGGACAACTAACTAGATATATAGTAGAGGTTTTTAGTTAATTTATGGAGGTTTTCAACCTCCACTATATTTTTTTTCAATTTTAAAAAAGTTTTATTCTACCGTTTTAAAAGCCTTTCTATCTAACCATATTTCCCCATTCAAAATTGATTACATTCTGTATTCTACATCTCAGAAGTGATTGCTTCACAAACCCAAATTTATCTTTCTAACATTCCATTTTCCACCGTTTATCTTCTCCTTCTCCTTATCCATATATTCATTCATTTATCTTTCTCCGATTGCCCAATTTCTTCGCTTCAAATCCAACTTCTTTCGCTTAATTCCAGTTTCAATCGCTCAAATCTAAGTTCAATCTTTAGTCGCTCACGTCCGTTTCGTTCGTTCAAATCGCCCTAAATTCTTCAATCGCTCAAATCCAGCTTCATTTGTTCAAATCCAGCTTCTTTGATCAAATCCAGCTTCAATCTTCAATCACTAAATTCTAATTTCAATCTTCAACCGCTCAAATCCTCCAATCGCTCAAATCCCTTTTTGGCATATTTTGGTATAAATCTTTCAATTATTATTTGCAATCTTGGATAAATTTGTATATAGGAAGATGAAAATATGTTCAACATGATTTTTTACCTTGTTTGTGCTTATGATATATGTTCAACATGATTCAAGGTTCACGAGGAATTGAAAAAGCTTTATTGAATCACTTGGGAGTGAAGCGCAATGGTTAGTTCATTTTTCTTGATTTCTCTCATTACCTCTGACTGAACCTAGTTTTATTCTTGATAAATTGAGGCTAAATAAATTCTTGATATGTTTCTTTTATGGAGAAATGGAATGCATGGTGAAGCACACCATGTGTTTGATAAAATATTCAAATGAGTGCAATTATTATTTTTGGTGGAATGTGATTTGAAATTGAATAAAATATTTTATATATACTTTTATTGAAGTAACGAGTCACACGTCAATTGAATTCATAATTCAGCTGTTTGAGCATATTGCGGCTTTGTCATATCAAGGTTCTATGTTGTTTTAGGTGTATGAAAATGAAAATAGGTTATGACGAAGGTGTGTGGTAATTAAGTTTATTGGTTTTAGTTTCCATGTATTTTGTTGCTACGTTTGGCACTTGTTGGTAATTAAATTGATTTGTTGCCTTTCTTTTGTTCTTGTTGCAGTGGCTACTCCCTTATTTTGGATCAACAGCCAGGAAGAAGGTAACTATCTTGTGCCAACATAATTCCCTTAGTTTCCATGTAAAGAGTCTGTAAGACCTTGTTGAATTAAACACTATTACCTTGTTGAATTCAGTAATTTCATGGTAATACATTTGGCTTCAACCTTACATGTATTAGTTTCTTAGTGCTCATGTGAGTTACGTTTGGTTGTGGGGTTTGATTTCAAATTTGGCCTTCTCATTAGCTTTGATACCATTTATGTTGCTAATGGTGCAAAATTTGAGTTGTTATGATCATCTAACTTAATTTCCTTAATTTGAGTTGCTTTGATACAGCTTAATTTCCACTATCTTGGGAAGAGCTTGATAAAAACCTTTATGTTCTCCGATTCTCAAATATAATATTTGACCATTATGGACAAGGCAGTATATAAGAAATGAACAGATGATATTCTAAGAGGATTTTGGCACTGAAGGACGCTACATGTAACATTTCTTCCTTAGAAACATTCACACTTCCTTATCTATTATATGGATTCTCAGCAATTTTCCCTCATATACTTTCTGTATTGGTGTTAAAGCTCTAACTTGTTATCATTTTTCTTCTTGAACTTTAAAGTAAAGGTTTTGTTTGTTCCCGATTCTGTATTGGTGAAGTTTTCTACTTACTGAACTGTGCCTTTTTGAGATGCAGTATTTTTATATACTTTTTAGGCCATTTGGATCTGAAAGTGCTGCTTTAGTTTATTGGAATTCTTTAATATATTCATCCATTCATATAATATTATAATAATTATTACTTAATTGGGTTGGGAGTTGAGATTTTATGTTATATTTGGATTTACAATGAATGATGAATTATAACTCTTTCAACTCTGTTACACTATTAAGAACATTTGTATTTAATATTTTATATTTAAATAATAATTATAAATTAATGAGATTAAAGTTGTGAAAATTATGAAATTAAATTGATGTTAAAATTCTATAGAAACCTATAATAGTTTCCTTTGAGTAGGTCTCCTTATGTTATTTCGAGTAGTGGTGGTTGAAATTTTTCACAATTAACCTTCTCAAATGGAGGTTTAAAGCCTCCACCATAAACACTATAAAAACATCCTCATGTTGTGGAGGTTGTAAATGCTGTAAACCTCCATAGTAAATGCTGTAAAAAACTCTTCAAATAGTGGAGGTTAAAAACATCATCAAATAGTGGAGGTTAAAAATCTCCTCAAATAGTGGAGGTCTGTTGTAGTGTGATTATATATATATATATATATATAATTTCACATGTCAAATTATATATCCATAATAATAAATAACATGTCAAAATATCTAAAAATGAGTATGCATTATATTTAATCAGTCTAGGTCGAGTCCGAGTTCAAACATGGTAGTTAAAATTGTGATCTCGTTCGTGGGATCACATGACTTTACAATCTTCGAGAGCTAGCCCATGCTCGATCTTGGTAAAATCGGGTGAAATCATTGTGTTGGAGTGTAGGAAGGATGAAATCGACGAGCCTTTTAATTCCATCTTCAGCCCCATTTTGGTTTGTGATCTAGGTTGATAAAACCCTAAACACATGTAGTGCTCGTTTGTCTTATGTTTTCTCATCTCCTCTACCGATCCAACTTTCCTTTCTCTCTCTATCTCCACTTTCTATTTCTCTTGCTTTACTCTATCTTCATTCTGTTTATCTTCTTAGCATTATGTTATGTTGCAAAATGGAAGAGGCGTCTCATGGAGACCATTAAGGTTTGATCAAATTGTTTATAATTGGACCAGGTCAGGTCCACTTATATTTTTTTATTAAGGGAGATCTGTTTATTTGGTATAGTAAGGAGACCTGTTTTTTTTTTGTACAGTAAGGAGGTCTTTTTTGTTTATAAGTATCTCATCCTTTTTTATTTCTTTTATGAAGTAAGTATTTTTCTAATATAAAAGTATTTATTCTCTAAACTATTGAATGGACTACATCCAATATATTGAAACATATAATTATCTAAAAAAATAATACTGAAACAAGTGAAACTTTTTAAATCATATTTGTTGAATACTATTTATCTATTTAAAATCATTCTTGTAAATTAGTAATATATATACTATCATTTTGATCCTAAGTAGAATTTCGATTTTAACTATCATGGGTTCAAAGGCTGGCCCGATTAATATTTATCGTCCATTAACTTTGGGTCTATGGTCGAGTCTGGATTCAAAAAATATTTGATTAACATTTAGGATTGGGTAAAGGACAAATCTTACCTTATTGAACCAAACTCATGCTCACCCCTAACTATAGGTGAAAAATAATCATACATGAGTTCAAAACCAATTGATATGTCTACTGCTAATGAAAGTAAAACAATCACCATACTAATTTTTATAATTTATAAGATAACATATAATCTCTGGTTTTCTCAATCATAAGGTCAAGTCGAAAGTTGGAACTTCAGTAATACACTTGACGAATTTAGATCACTCTGAAATATATATTGGTACAAGATTGATTGTCACTAAAATGTAGGGTTATATTTACTTGTACTAGTATTCAGTCATGGTCAATTGTGCGTAGATATTTCAAGAGTTCAAAAAAGATTAAAGATATTGATACATGATAAGGATATTCAATCACTAAAAACAACAACAAACGTGGTTTATAAAATTTTTTCCAAAATCTCTATATATATTCTACAACTTATTTTATATAGGCTTCTAAACTTTACTTCATTGCAATTACTTATTTATTTAATATAAAGGTGTAACATCATCTCATTCGTCAATAACTCTACATCAATAACAAATAAATAAACATCATCTTTCATAAGGTAATATTAAATAATATTTTCATTAACAACTATGATTCAATTCTTTAAATAAATTTATACAAAATACATTATCACATGTGCGCGGTTATCATAGTAGATAATAAATTAAAGAAAAGTACAAAATAATTAATTACATTGAGAATATAGTAACTCTTGATATAAGAAGATAATTTATCTCTTTCCGATATTAAAATCATGAGATATATTGTATTCAATTATTTTTTACACAAAGTTTCTAAAAACTAATAAAAGTGAATCGATGATTTTCCCTTTAGATCCTTAGCTCTTCTATCTAGGTTAGCCTTTTAGACTTGGTACCAAACGAGCACTAACTCACCCAACAACTCCCAACGTTCTTCTTCTTAGGACAACCAAACTAAAACCACTTTCTTTGATTCCATGGCAGACTATGACACCAACCACCACCACCATTCAAAAGAAACAGCTTTTCAAGCCTTAAACACAATCATCCAGCTTCATTTTGAGAAAACCCTTGAAAAGAAAAGAGCCATTGACCTTCAAAAAAAGGAGCTTCACAAACTCTTCCAGATTTTCTTCATCTTCCTAAGCCTAATATTCTTTTCACAATCCAACTCACTACGCCTCCAATGCCGCCATTGTTGGATCCCCATCACTCTTCTCTCTATGGCACACCTCATCTTCTATGTCTCAGTGGCACAGACTTTGAGATGCATCAATGGGTTCAAGTACCAGAGGAGATGCCACAAACTCACACTTGGTTTGGCTACTGAGAAGCTGAGAGAGATGAAGATGAGGTTGATTAATAACAATGAGTATGATGGGGTTGTTGTTGGTGATGAAGAGTTTGAGATTCACTATCAGGAACCACCTGAGAGTTACTTTGGTAAGTTTAAGAGGAATTGGGCTCTTCATTTTGGGTTCTTGATCTTGATCTACTCTTTTATGGTCTCTTCCTCAGTTGTTATCTTATGTTTTTAGGTATATTAACTACTTTTAGTTAAGTTAGATCTTTCTGGTTCATAATGTTAGAGGTGCCTAGATCTTTTGTTAGATATGAAATTGTATGATTGAATTCATTTCCACTTCAATGTCAATTCTGAACAGATTTTCTCATGCCTAATGTTCTGTCATATGTGCTGTTTCATAATTTTTTTGGTTTTGTTAAACAATAGGAACATTCTAATAGATACTATCATTTTTTGGATGTTATATATTAATTTATAATTTATTATACATCCCCATAAATTAACAAGTTTTTCTTCACAATAATAAATATCATTTTTATTTTTAATTGGGTATCATAATCTATTTACACTTAGATAGCTAATGCTAGCCCAAAATCCTACTCCTATAGCCTATATGCTATTTAATTGAACATTTTTGTAGCAGATTGCAATGTTGTTAAATTTGGAGCAAGTAATGAATGTGGGTTCAGGTTCAACTGGTTAGATGGAATGCTTTTACATTTAAATCTAGCTAGTTGCCATGGATCATTCCTTTCTATATGGGAGAGAATACACAAATCCACGCATTAGTGCTATTGGTTTGATATAAACAGAATCCAAGGGTGAAGATATTGCTTCTTTCACTGATTTTTACTACAATTGCAAGAATGAACTCTTGTGAAACCCACAATTATGGTGCAAATAGATCCCAAAAGGGACTCTTCTTTATCCTTCACTTTCTCAACAACATCACCTGACCACTTTTGTTGCTTGCCTCATGGTCAAACAACACATTTTCTGTGGTGTGCTTAATGCTATCTTTGATTGTTGTGTGAAAAAGGAAGGAATGAAAAAAAGTAGGAACAAAATATTTTCCATTGTTTGGTTGCATAGAATAGAGCTAAGCAAAGAAAAAAAATGGTGAGACATAATGTTTTCTCACCAATATTGGGAGAAAAACTGAAGTTGAGAAAATTAACCATGAATTTTCTCCTTGCTAATTCCATATATATTTGGAAAATTCGTATTTTGTGTTAGTCACACTTGTAAATGTGGCTAATTTTCTAAAATTCCAATGAAAACAAACCAACACATATGTAATGTCATTATTAATAACCGACAAGTCTAATGTTGTAAGGTTTCGCTAGACCCCTAGAAAGACTAAAAGGTATATGGTTCGATTCTTGACAACAACACTTATTAGAAGAGTAGTTATACACCGTGAAAGTAATTAGTTTCTTACTTATAGGGTATAGTCGTAAGGGGATATTATTGATAGTACCAAAAAATATCATTATTAATAATAATTATTTTCTCTTCATTTTCTATCATATCAAACAACTAAAAATTTACCACAATTTCCACTCATTTTCTCCTCTCAACTTTTCTTTCCTTAACTTCTGTCTTGAAAACCAAACCCAAGGAAAGGAAAACATGATAAAGCATAGAAACTAAAGGAAAGAATTATGTCCACTCATTTTATATCTCACAAAAAAGTGATTTTATGAAGAAGAAAAAGAAATGTAAATCAAGGGCTACTAAATTAGATTCTAACTTTCTGTTTAGGCTACTCAAAGTAAAAAACTCAAGGGCTACTAAATATATGTAAGTCATGTATTGTTAAATGTAAGTCATGTTTATGGTTTTTCATTTCCCTTCTACATATATTATAGATTCAATATTTGGATGAGATATACAAAGAATGATGGTTCAACTATGAAAATTAAACTAAACAGAACCCATGCTCGCTCTCGAGTACTCGTAATGTGATGCAACACAAGTCTGCACAACTGAAGCCACTTTTCAAGCCCATGTAATGATGTAACCTCAGTTCTTCAGATAAAGCCCATATAATATTTATGCACTTTGTGGAGAAATATATTCTTTTATATTACTTAAATTTAATAATAATATTTAACTATGAATAATA